TAGGAGTATGCATCCTCAAGAGTTGGGATGAAGATAAGCCCAATAAATGAACACAAGCATAGTCAAACTCGCCGTTCAACCCGGCAAGAAACTGAAACACTTGATTCTTCTCCACAATCCCTGCATATAAAACTGTATCATCTGGATCCTTCCAAGAGTGGAAGGAATAATATGACATCTCCTCCCAAATAGCACAAAGCTTGGCGATGTAACCTGAAACTGTCAAGTCACCCTGAGAAATCCTGAAAATTCGTGCATTATTCTGCCTCTGAGAATAAGTGCGTTGAACTGAATCCCAAATCTGCTTAGCAGTCTTCATAAACATATAGCCAATAACTATGTTTGGTTGCATCGAATTGACTAGCCAAGACATAACCATAGCGTTATCTGCAAACCACTGTGGATATGCCTTCTCTGACTCAACTAGTTCTTTCTCAGAACCAGTAATATAGCCAATCTTGCCTTTGTCACTAATGAACATCTTGACAGACTGTGCCCAAATCAAATAGTTGGAACCATCCAACTTCACCTTGGTGATTTGAAGTCTTGGATTTTCTGATGAGTTAGTGGAAAAAATGGCACCACCATCAACAGAACTCGAGCCAAGATAATTAACAGTTGAGGACCCTGAATCTGCCATAATCTGTCACACGACAATAAAAAAACTCCAGAAATACCACAAATTCTGTTAATAAATCAAAGGGTCTCCTCAGACTATAAACAATAACAATGTCTCCTCAGATCATTCCAAAAAAATCCAAATACATACCTTTTTTAAGGAGTGCTGCCCGCTTACATATAGCCAGACAACCTCCTTCTTAATATCCGGAACCTCTTTGTAGACTAATTTTTTTTTTTTTACCCAAGCCCTTCTAGGTGTTAGGGACTAACTATCCCAATTTACCTAACCTTAGAAGAGTAAAAAAGAAATTGTAAAACTTAAAAATACTTGTTTTCGATCACAAAACAGCAACACAGAAAAACATGTGTAGGTAACATCACACGATGTCACAAACAGCCTAAGGTGGCTGTCGCACAAGTAGCAAGGCTGCTGAAAGGTGTGGAAATGTGTTGGCTCTGATACCAATTAGAAATATAAAAAGAAGAAAAATGAGAGAATTATGTAAAGGCTCGAATGAGATGAATTATTCATTCAAAGCTTTAGTATTTATATATAAAAGAACACATGCTCATATTACAAGAAAAGAAACTAAATCAAATCTAAATCAAATTACAACATATTCTAAAGCATATTCTATAGTATAGTCAAATTTCTACTATTATGGTAATTCCATAAATCGTGGTATCATATATGCTAACAAGTCAACAACTCAACTTGTCTCTGCAAAAACTCTTATCTCACCTTCATGTTGCTTGGGTAAGGGTTCAGCCAGAACCTGCATCCTACGATTTTCTCCTCTCGATTGTTGTTCGAAACTAAAGCTCTGATACCAAACTGATACCGCCTTACCAAGAGAATACGAATCGTCTTCACAACAATATTAAAACGAAATAAAAGAATAATGCTAGAGAAAGGAGAATTGCAAAGTTGCAAAGCAAACTTTATTTGCTGTAAAAATAATAATCTATTCCCTAATCTGTAAACCCTAGCAATTACAAGGCTTTATATAAACCTAAGACGAGCTAATTTCCAAATATAAAATAAAATTAAAATAGGAAAGCTGCTGAAAATCTGAAAACTACTCAAAAAGGAAAGCTGTTGAAAATCTGAAAACTATCTTTCAAAACATGGAAAGTTTCTGAAAAACACAAATTCCACTTGTAGAAATTTGAAATTCTGCCTGCATCATTAACCAACCATGTCAATTATATAAGATGTGGTGTCTTGTCATCCAAGTTAAGAAGTATCTGCCCTTCTTGTGCAAGATTAAAAAAATTGTCTTGAGTCAATGCATGTTTTCACCGGATGACTTATGATGCGGAGGTACTTATGGTAGTTTAAGTTGTCAACACAACCAACTTTTCGGGTCGCTTCTCTTCAGGTAGTAGCTTGACCACCTCTTTCTTCAGGTCTTCAACTATACCATGAACATCTTCCCCATCAAAAAGTATTCATTTCCATTCTGTTGCATCATGCATGGGTTTATGATAACCACCTCTTGAGTATGGTTATCTTCATTCATTCCTTTTGTGTCTCTTAACATTTATTGTTAAAAGGCTTGTTAGAGCCTGGGATTCCATGAAGTGGTCTATTTGCAACTTGTCATCCATATTCTCACCTTCATCAGAGATGGAAGAAACTCTAGCACCATGACTTGCTATCTCAAGCTCCATGCCACGGGCTTGGGTAGCAAGTTCTTCAAATGTGCGAGGCTTGATTCCTTGCAGAAAGTAAAGAAGTCTATAGTGCATACCTTGCATGCACATTCATAAAGATGATCTTTGCAAGCAAGGCTCAGAGCTCGCTGATGGTTTATATAGCCAACCACAAACTCATTCTTTATTTATTGTGTTAGTGAGATCCAATATGCTGACCATTCTACAAGTACAAGCATTGTGGAACTCTCATTTTATCTGTCCCAAATTGTTGATAAATCCAAATTTCAAGTTTATATATTGGTCAAATTCGTTCTTCTTCTTTCCTTGGAGGGGGGAGTACCATCTAGGGCAAAAAAATTATTCTAAGTTTAAGTGAATGAACAAACTGTTTCATTTAGAATCCTCTTATATCTTAGCATTGTTGTAAGTATTTGCAAAGTGGGAATTTGCTGCTTGGGATTTCCTTTTCCATCAAACTACTGGAACTTAAAGGGTTGGTAACTGACTCACACTCTTAACATATTAATCATCTAGGTGTAAAGATTTTATTATATACAAGTACTTTGAAGGATGCCACCTTACTCTATTCTTATGCTACACATTAGCATGTTCCAAAGTTGTTGGATAGATCGCTTTGCATTGTTGTTTAGCCAACCACCTTGATGTTAGTTGGACATATAAGGTCTGTTAAACTAGGGACTTTTGGCGGGAAACCAAAAGGATGCATATGACCTTGGTATTACTCTCTAGTCTAGTGTCTTATGATTCCAACTTCCTTTTCAGCGAGAAGTTTGCAAGTTTTGATTTCTAGCGGTGGTCTCGAGCCTTTCAGCTACACGAGCTACTCGGCTGCTCCTCGATGAGGTAATATTGATCATCGTGATTGGCATGACCGTTGATATGAGATGGTTTATAATTTTGGGGGGCACCCATTTGGTGATATAGGAAATGGCCTCGAGTGTGAAGCCATGTTAGAGTTGGTGTCTAAGGCGGAGTAAGATGAGTGTGGAGGTACACTTTTTGGAGTGGATTTGTCGAGAGGCGTCCCTTTGTAGCTTGCGCTGTTGCTTTTCCTTGCCCCCAAGAAGCACAATGATAAATTTTTGCACTTCTGCATGCGTGGACATAGCATAATTGACATTTATCGCATCTTGTCCGTTTACATGAGGAGTGGCCACCTTAGCATTATTTCAGATTGTTGGACGTAGAGTTACTACTGCCACTCAAAGGGATAGCAGCATTCATACCATTCCTCATGGAGGTACTGCTGATATCACGCAGGCGCTAGTGTTCTTGCTTGCCTGAGTAGGTTTAAACCTTCTTGAATGCCATTGATTTCAAAAGAAGGGAGTCTTGAGAATTTGGCATTGGAAAAAGAGATGAGATGCATGGGTCCCACTTGGTCTAATAAATTGTCTGCACCCGTAGAGAGTCGCAGCCAAACGCTCAGGCCGCAACTTACGAATTATATGTTTAAACCCTAAACACAGACCCCTCTCGTTGAAAGGTCCTGGAAGCTTCACTCTATTAGGAAGCAAATTGGCTCATTTTATTAGTTTAATGAAAATTTGTACAATGTTACCAAAAAAAAAAAAAAAAGGTACAATGCTCTGTGCTGTATTCTTTACACACAATATATTCAGCTGGCTCAATTTTTGTTGCAAGTCTTATTTGATGGCTACAAGAGCTTGATCATGAGTCAGAATGCTAAGAACTTTTTTTCAGTCTTCGAAGTTAGGGATTGATCAGAAAATATTTTCCATTGAGACTTGGGAGTCAAAGGAAAACACTCTACAAAGATGTGCTTAGAGACTTTAAAAGCACTATACCAAGATGTGATGGAGATTCAATTTTTAATCTTGCAACCATTAGAAGAATGGCATGGTTTTGATGCACTTCTTGTTCTTCTTCTTCCAACAACATAGATTGAGTTGTCGAAAGTATGCAAGTCTTGGTACAGAGAATTTCAGCGGTATCTTGGTCTTTGTTCTTTTATGTCCTTGTGTTCATTGAACCGTTTTGTATTTTTAGGCCTAGTGATGGAGTATTTTTTTATTGAAAACCACTAATAAGTGTTTAGATTTTGACCCCTAAAACTCAGATGAATTTGTCTCCATTTATATGGAATAATCTTGAATTTAAATTGATTTGTCGAACTTTCTCATAAAGGCTTTTAGCCTTGAGATTCTGACATGTTTCTGCGGTAAGACCCGCAGCATGCAATGAAAGCTGATTGTTGACTGACTTGATCAGGTTGAGTTTTGACCAATCAAATGGTGGTCAGATCATCTCAAAATTTCCATGTCTACACCCATATAGTTGAATTTTTTAAATCCTAAACAAGCTTGATTACTCGTTATGTCAAATATTTTAGTACCGACAAATGTTGGGAAGCTGCCCTCTTGAGAAAAGTCCAAACTCCAAAAGCATGAATGGCATGACATGACTTTAGAATTGGTTTGCATTCCATATGGGTAAAATTTGTGTTAGTTTGCCAATAGCTGGCGCCTGATCTTGAGAGGTTCCATCAGTTGGGTCGTCTTGAGCCAACTGACTATGCCACATCATGGCCTCAGCAGCTGACGCTGCTCCTGTGGCATGTGATTGGCAGTTACAGCTGCAACTTATTGAAAAAGAATTCCTTGGAAATTAGCAAATTCTTTTTTTGTTTTTTGGGATTTGATATCTCATCTTAGTTATTTGGATTTAATCATCCACAGATTCGGCATTCTCAAGTCACAGATATGCATGGTAGGGGATAGATTGGATACTGATATCCTTTTTGGACAAAATGGCGGTTGCAGAACCCTTCTTGTTCTCTCAGGTGACGACTTTGCCTTTTATATATATATATATATATATATATATATATATATATATATATTTTCATCAATTTCATATTATACATTATCTTATAGTGGTTTCACGTTTCCCTCTTATAGGTGTGACTTCATTGTCAATGCTTCAAAACCCCAGCAACTCCATACAACCGGATTTCTACACCAACAAGATTTCAGATTTTCTCTCGCTCAAAGCTGCTACTGTGTAAGCATGTAGCTTTGTGATATCTTCTGTGTCAGGTTTGGATGTTCAAGCAGATGTTCATGCAGTATTCTTTCGGTTACATGTAAAGACAGAAAATTAGGAATTCTCAGAAAGCGTTATCATTGTATATTTATCTACAGTTGAAAATTTGAAATACAGAATCTATCATCTGCAGACTGTTGTTCCTACTGATACTGTGAGATGACAGAGATAATGAAATATGAAATTATTCAATGATATGAAATTTGAATAGATTGCTGTCTTCAAACTTTGTTAGGGAGGCTTTGTACCTATTTTCAAGCATATCAAAACAAATCTGAATTCAAGCTTTATGTCCCAACTATATGAGAGGCTGTCTACAAATGCTTTACAGTCCATTAAGTTCTATCAAGGGCAGCGTCTTCTTCATGTTCATGAACTGTTTCATCAAGAAAAAAATGAAAAATTATACATCTATGAAAGGGTCCTTTCCCCTAGACCTTCATTGTGTGTGTGTGTGTGTGTGTGTTTTTTTTTCCCCCTATTTGAAGAACCGATGTCAAATACCCCCCAGAGGCTTGAACCTGAGGCCTGATACTTCATGAGGCACCCGACCCCAGTTCTTATCCGCTAGGCGAACCCCGTGGGGTTGAAGTACCTGCTTCCTCGTGATCACAGTTTGCTTCAATAGTTAATGACTTATTCCACAGTAATAGTATGCATTATGGCTGGGAAATTCATTGATGCACTTGAGACATATACAAAAAAGAGACAATCCCATCCTTTGTATCATCACTATGTTATTCAAAACTACAAAGCCTGGTGTATTACTACTATCCGAATGATCTCTTAAAACCGAAGTTCCCAAAATTCATAGCAACTGAGACAGTAACCTCTCTCACTGCTATTGCTGAACTTCAGTCAGATCCTAATTTCTTCCATAGTTCCATTAGCAATAAATATAGAAAAAGGAAGAAACCGAAACGAAAAACCAAAATATGAAGTTCCGACTTGTGTATACATTCTTTTTCCTTCCCATTATCGATCCTTCTCCCCGTCCTTATGAGTCATTCCACACTGTGAATGTTGGGGCCCCATGGCAAACGGCCATGCTGTTAGTCCTCGGAGATATAGTTGGAATCGCGGTAGGCACCCAGTTGTTACAAGTTGAGCCCTGATCATACAAACTTGTCGAGTGATCATAACGATCCATCAATCCGAAATTGTTTTCTTGTACCTCATTTTCTCCGAAACCCTGATTCTGGTTACTTTCATGGGCAACAACAGCACTAATTGGCATCACGAAGCTACCATGATTAGCATACTCAACTCCTTGGAAGTTGCCATTGCCATCACCACTGCCACATCCACTGCCGTAGAAGACAGAGTTTGAGCCGGAGCTGTGTTCCATCGACGACGAGTCCAAGCTCATGAGGTTGTGATGGAAGAAGTTGTGAGTATTCCCCAACTGAAGTTGATAGTGATCTTGAAAGCTGTGGGTGGTATTAGTATCTTGCTCTTGCTTACACCACACCCTCTGTTGTTGGCCATATGGCGCGTAGTGCACGCCATAGGGCTGAGCTTGTTGGAATGCTATGCTGGGGAAGCCGTGGGGCGCGCTGTAGTTGCTGATTCCATTGCTCAGATGGGAACTCGTGTTGTCCTCGACGTGTCTGGTCATCGCGTCCGCTGTCATTTCAGCCTGCTCGGCATCCTTCAGACGCTTGGCAGCGCCACCAATTGGTAAAGTACTGCTCTCAAGTATGCTCTTGACATCATATCTGTTGATTTCAAAGTTTGTCACCGCGTTAAGACCACGGAACTTTATGGCAGCAATGTCATAGGCCTCTGCTGCCTCCTCCTGTGTGGCTAATAGAAAGAAAATGAAGGAAAAAGGTTAGAAACATTTATTTACACCATGCACTTCATATGACAATGTCAAATGAATACAATTTTCCTTTGTCACAAATATTAAGCATTCATTGATGCACTTACTGAAAGTTCCTAAATAGAGATCCTTGTTTCCGGCAACTCTGCCAATCCTTGCTTGCCATCTTCCATGCTGGTGGTGTCTGTAAATCGATCCACATAACAAAACTACGTGAGAATTTGATAAAGAAAAATGTCACAAAATCTTGAATTACTTTAAGAATTCAATACAGTTGTTAGTAGAATGCAAGAAATCAAACATCAATTTAATGAGGGTTCGAGTTCTATTTCAATTTTTTAACTAGTAGTAGTACATTTTAATTTATCCTTCTAGCCCTAGGATATATATAGACATATAATATACAAAGTGTTTGTCAGCAGGATTAGCCTGTCCTGCACATCAAGTTGGATAGCGATTACCGCCAAAAAAGTAACCAAAAACAAGAAGAAGAAGTGAGTACTAGATTTGGGATTTTGTATCCCAAGTGAGATAAAAACTGAGAGGCCAATCTACGAAGACAAATCTTCTCCTAAACCCTACTAAGGTCTACATTGCCCTGTTTATCACTCTGAATTATTACAAACCACTAATATTTAACACGATCCAACCAGACTTTTTCTTTGAACAAATCAATGGCAGCTCTCTAACTAAGAAAAATACATTAGAATGCTGATAGAAGTGCATTCTGGTGCAGTTTTTACCTCGTCACTCCACGATAAATGGATGCACCCCGAGAAAATCCACTACTCTTCCTGCACCAAGAAAAACAACGGAATTATAATATCGTCCTTTTTAATAATTCATCTTCTTTTTTCTGCATCAGACGATTAATTAATTTAGTTGGATCGTCTTAATAGAAGCACATTTCATTCTACCTTCGAAGAGATGCAACATACTCCTGTCTGGTCATGTTCTTCATTTCTTCTACCTCTTTCTCGTAATTACTAATCTGCCAATCCAAAAAAAGAAAAAAAAAGAAGTTAAATTGATTGAAAAGTATTTTAAGGTTTCTAAATATTATATAATGTGGACATAAAAGAAAATACAGTAGACTCACAGGAAAATTTGTAGTGGTAGCGGTTCCCCAATACTTCAATGCTGCTAAATCATAAGCTCTAGCTGCCTTTTCTTCTTTATCATATCCTCCTATATATATATATACACACACACACACAATATAAGAAAAAAAAATATATAGATGAGATATATATACCAAGAATACAATGATCTAGAAAAGTTTTAAATTCAAATATAAAAATAACATTTCCAGGAAAAGAGAGAGAAAAGGAGAAGAAAAGAAAAGGTAAAGAGGCATAAACAAAAGAAACCTTTATGACTTACCCAAATAAACTGCAAGGAGGTTGAACAAGCCCATACCAAATCATAAACCAAGGGGTTAAAAAAAAAAAAAACACCCAAGTTAATTAATATACAAAACATATTATTTGATTCATTCATAAAAATTAAAAATAAATAAAGAAATTGGATTGTTGAAATGTAATTGCATGCAGATGCTAGAACACACCTTGCCTTCCTTTCCGAGTTTGCCCTTCTCTTCTGCAGCTGTTATCCCATAGATGAGCCTCATATCTCCCGGTCCATCTATGCCTATACAAATTAAACCACCATAAGAACTAAACACACACACACACACACACACATTCATACTCCAAAATGAAAAATATAATATATATATATATATATTGAAATCTCAGAACTCCCCAAGCCAGGCCCTTTGGACCCACCCCTGGTTACAAACTGGGGATGCAGCGGCCGGCCCAAAGGCATGCACCAAGTCAATCAGGGATATAATGGGGGTATTGGGGTTCGAACCTAGGACATGTATGATCTCCGGCCCTTACCTTGCCACCATCACCAAACCCCTGGGGGCATGTACAAATACACACAAGAAAAGAAAAAGAAAAAAACAAAAAAACAAAATAAAAGAGGAAAAAAAAAAAAGGGTTGACGTATAAATACACACAAGGGAAAAAAAGGGGGGGAAGAAGAAAGAAGAAGAAATTAATGAGAGAGTATTTGAATAATAAACATGCAAAAAGAGGAGGGAGAGAGAGTACATTCATACATCAAAATGAAAAATGCAAAATTACACACACACACACAAAAGAGAGAGAAGAAAACAAGTAGATATTTGAATAATAAACATGCAAAATGAGAGAGAGAGAGTTTCAATATCGAAATTGATCAGGTACCTTGTTACACCACGGTAAATGGAAGTCCTTTGTCCAAATGTATCAATAGATTTGCGAGGCACAGCCTCTATAGCACCTGTTTGTCCATCAAGAGCTGCAGCCACCTTCTCCTCTTTATTATCCAATGAAGAAGAACTCTCTCCTCCTCTTCCACCACCACCACCATTACTTGCCGTCAAAAGCGGCAAAGTAGAGCTCGACCGTGAGCCAGTGCTCATCGACAACGACAACCCACCGGCCGTTAGGGTTTCATTAGTCCCTCTTTCCACCCCACCATCCTTATTGCTTTCCGGTTGGTTCCTCAACCAGTTCTTGATCATAGAAATCCCAATGCCGCCACCACTGCCTCCACCGCCATGGTTGGTTGCCGCTGTCTCGGCCACCTCATGAGATGGAAGCTGCAATGAAGAGTTGGGATATGTGTAATTTAAAGCAGTAGTACTACTGCAGCCACCATTATAAGCTGAAGAACCACCAATATTAGAGTAATTGCACCCCACAAGTTTGTTTTGTTGTTGATGATCAGAACTATTATAAGATTGTCCACCAAGAAAGTTTTCAAGCTTTGGCTCTTGGTTTTGGAAGTTCTGATTGCATGAACTACCCATCATCATAGAAAGTTCCTGAGAGGTGGTCTTGTAGCTACTACTATCAGAGTTCATATTCCAATCTGAAAAAAAAAAAAAAAAAAAAAAAAAAGAAAGAAAGAAAGAAGGGAAAACAAATAATTAAGAATATAATAAGAAACTATATACATGGTTTTGTATATTAATTATATAGGATTATATATGCGTGTGTGTGATTGAGAATAGATGTGACAAACCTTGTGATTGGTTGTTCCTGTTGAATGAGTCTAGTATGCCAAAAGGGGCAGGAAGGTTTAGAGAAGGAAGTGTGGAGTGAGAAGTGAGATCAAAACACTCATCTGAGACATGGGTATCAGAGATTTCATCAGAGTTGAAACCAATTAGGGGAGAGGCTGAGGTTTGGAGTTGATCTTGAGGCTGGGATATTGGGAGTTCTTTAGGTGAGAGAGAGAAACCCAACCAGTTGTTCATGTAAGCCATTGAATGTGTGTGTGTGTGTGTGTGTGTGTGTGTGTGTGTGTGTGTGTGTGTGTGTATTTGTGGTGAATGGATTGTTGCACTAGTGTTTAGTACTCAAGAGGTTATGAGGATTTAGTACTTCATGCATGAAGTATAGAGGTAGGAACTAGGAGTTGAAAGGAGGAGGGAGAAGAGGAAAGGTCTAAAAAATGAAAAGAAATCATTTTTCCCAAAGCAAAATGAAGATTTATACGAAATCCCTCCCTCTCTCTCTCTCTCTCTCTCTCTCTCTCTTCTTAACTGGAGTGCTCTTCTAATTCAAGGGCAGGCATAACTCTGATCCCAAAACCCTCTATGATTTTAATGAGTAGCAAATAGTAGCTTGATGAGGGGTAGTATTGTCTTTTTGTCATGAAAGAGAGGTAATGTCTATCTACATGAGGTGGTTGTTCAAATGAATGTGTGTAGAATGTAGATCTTCCTCATTCTTCATCTAAAAAACCAAAAAGAAAAAGGTTAACTCTCTTGAAAAAAAAAAAAAAAAAAATTTAAAAAATAGTTCAATATTACCACTTAGTACAGACTTAAACATATACTATAATAAAAAGGTACACGAGTAGCAATGATATATTAATGTTGAGTTGCAGTACTAATTATGTATAATATATAGTTCAAAACATTTTTTTTTGTTTTCATCCAAAAATGGGCAAGCTGCAAGTTGAGCTGATCTTCTTCATTCATGCCCTTGGATGGTTAGCATGCAAGAGTCATAAATATAACTTTAGTCACTACCTATGACTATGAGCATGTGGTTATTAGTCTAATACATGTGCTTATCTATGAGCATGTGGTTTCTTAGACTTTAAACAAACATGGTCTCCAACTTTCAAAGATAGCCTCAATCTTACTTTACTTACTACTTTAATTGTTAGTTTGACTAAGCTCTTGTTGTTAATTATATAAGACTGTTCTCACTCTTTTTTTGCTGAACACCACCTGCATGTTGAAGATGATTTCTGACCAGGTTTGACAAAAAAAACCCACACGCACCTCCTCTCCACACCCATATTTTTCTCATGCCCAATTGGACATTAGTCATTTCAGTGTCAGAAATCTGTGCAGTCACACCCCTAACCGACCTGAATTGATTCTTGAGTAAATTGCACTTACTTTCACTAAGGTTTGTTAATATTTTACATTGACTATCTCTATATTTCTTAATCTCCCTTAACTCCCTCAATATTCTGATTTATATTACAGATTCTCCCTTATTAGGCACCTAACGGAGATAAACAGAATCTGTTAATGTCAGTAAAATATAAAATTAATAGAATATCAATTTTGTAGTTCTAATGCTTGAAATGGCAGCAAACATTTCATGGACAAAACGATAAAATAACACTGTGGAGAGAAATTTTCCCACCAATTGCGAGGCTAAGTAGGCCAAAAGCTAAAAGTCCAATTATAAAAGTTGGCCCAAAGGTGGTGTCTCATATACCGAACATGCCCTAAAATTAAGGACATTGAGGCCCACACGGCCCAAAATCATGTCTTGCCCAGCACGGAGATAGACCTTGCATGAAAGGGAAATAACCGAATATCAGGAAAATATTTGAATGGAGAGAATGAAAGTCTTAAAAGGACCCCATTAGGGTTTCTGTACGTAATATAAATATAGGCGAATGACCCAAATAAAAAGGACGGTTCATGACCTATGCATTCTACTCATTTTCTCTTGAAATTTTTCATTATCATTCATTTTTTATTGTTCATTCTTGAGTGTGAGTGCATCAAGATCCTTGGACCAGGCATAAGTGTTCAGTCCGAGATTTTGTGTACCTACAAACACATTACTATTATCAAGTTGACGATGGTCACTAATAGAGGAAGTAAGTGAGATTAATTATTTTTTTTGTTCACAAGAGTACAAATCAAGTCGATCGAGTCAACTACTCTAAGCACATTAATACAACATATTAGTAAGGATGGCAAAAATGACCATCCCGACGAGCCCCGCCCCGCCCCGTTTGGGATAGTTTTGGGGAATTGATTATGTAAATGGGGACAGGGATAGGGGCTGCTTTGAAAAACCCGACGAGTTTTGGGGCAATTTCGAGGGAGGGTTGCCCTTCCTCGCCCCGCCCTGAATATACTATAAATTTATTAAATTACCCTTACATACTATGATATATTACTAAAATAGGTTAAGTATATATATACACACAAGACTACAGGAGGAAACCCTAATCCTCATTTCGCTTCATATCTTAAGTTTTGTGAAAAAAAGAGAGCTGCGAGTAGGAATGGCAAAATCCCCACCCCGATAGGGCCCCGTCCCATTTAAGGCGATTTTGGGGAACCGGTTATGTAAATAGGGACGGAGATAGGGACTGCTTTGAAAACCCGACAGGTTTTAGGGCAGTTACGGAGGATGAAAAAATTAAATGGTGATGGGTAATGAGATTCCCATCCCATTGGCATCCCTACTGTAATATTTTCATTTTTCATCATTTTCCATTTTTTCGGAATTTTGTTGTTGCAAGGACATTTTCGTCTTTTACCATTTTGCGTACCGTGCACTGCATAGTGTGCTGGTTGTGTTCGAGAATTGTTTGGAGCATTTCATTAAGTCCAGGACTCTTTGAAATTTTATTTTTTTATTTTTCGGGCCGGACGGTTCCGTGTGGGACCCGTTAGCTGGACTGTTGCATACGAGAATTTTAATTGGGTCCATTTGCATCATAATCATTTTATTTTATGTGTTTTATATGGTTGTAATTTAATAGGTGTATGTATATATATGTGTGTGTGGTGTAAAATGAAAGTAAAAGAAAAAAGGAAAAATAAAAGAAAAGTGGTGAGACCCATCACTAGCTTTTTAGAGGCCATGAGACCTCACTTTGGTCTTATTCTTTTCCCCTTCCGGCATGTTCTTTTTCTCTCTCATTTTCTCTTCTTTTTCTTTTTTTTTTTTGCATCAAAACTTTAAGTTTTGATTTCTCCTTCATTACTTGGAATTTTTGGAAGCCGTTTGCGGCAATTCGAAGAGCACGGCGAGATCTTCACATCGATATAAGCAATTTCAGTTTTAGTGCACTTTAGGGATTCCGATTTTGAGACCCAATTTGGAGATTTTTTGCTTGATTTGAGGTAGGGGTCTCTAATCCACAAAATCTTGCACCTTTGTGAGTTAATTTTACTTAATTAGTGTCCTAGCATGCTAATTTGTGTTGATTTTACTCTAAAGTGATTTAATTGTGTATATGAAGTATATGATTTTGTGTGTAGTTGATGTTGTGCAAATTAACATGCTTAATTTGAATTGATTGCCTTGAAAATGATTTTATTATTGTAAATGAAATCTATGATTATGTATATTAATTAAATTGTATGAAAAGCATGCCTAAATGTAAATTTTCATGCCATGATGTTTGAGATCTTGCTAGAAATTACTATGTAGAAGCATGTTAAATTGTGAAGTGGAAATTCATTTATTTACATAGTAATGTCAAGGTATTTGACATGCATTCATAGCATTGGGCATGGAAAAAGGGCAAAATGATTTAAAGTGAATGAAAAAGGAATTTTTTGGGGACAAAGTTTTGATTAAAGTGATTTTTATGAAAACCCGGTCACCGCGAAGTCACCAAAGGGCCGTGGTGTTAATATAACTTAGAGGGAACTAAGGAAACACCCTAGCGTGGTTGAGCTATCTGGGTGTCAAATGACGTCGCGAAGGTACCAAGGGTTAGGGATAGTAGCTAATCTTTCTCTCGTGTCGCTGCGGAGTCACCAACGGACGGGTTATATTAACAGTTTGAAAAGTGATGGATTTGGATTTTGGAAATGGGGAGTGACATACATGGCATTGCATTCATGGACGGCATTGTTTGTTTTGAACTTGAAAAGTAATGTTGTATTCTTTCCCGGCATTGCATGACCCCACTTCCTATTATTCTATTCATTGTTTGGATTCACGGGGTCATAAGAGGTGTGTCTTAGGCACCACCTACTGAGTAATTTTGCTCACCCCTTATTATTAATATTTTTCAGGACACGGAAAGGAGGTGGCAAACGACCATCCACCACAAGTTTAGACGGGATTGGAGATTTATATTTTACTATTTTTGTTTTACAGCTTTAATATTTTGTAAATGTAAATTTTGAGTATTCTGTAAAACTTTAGTATAATTTGTATAATGTTGTAAATTATGAACTTTTGATTTCAACTGTATTTCATGAACTGTAAATTGATGTAATTAGATTATGTTCTTTGTAAAAGAGTATGGGACTAAGTAGTGGATTGGCACTTCTATATTTTTTTTATTGAAGGAATTGGAGGGAATGGACTCTTTTTATATGTATATAGTTATTTTGGGAATTGGTATATTGTTTGCATTATGTATTGGGACAAGATAGATTAGTTTATGGCCAAGTGAAGCCATTACAATTTTTTTATGCATTTCAACAGGTTGTGGGAGGGCCTTTTTTAGCAGAGGTCATACCGAACTTTTTTTAGAATTGGTATCATTTTTGGGTCGTGACAACTTTAGTATCAGAGTGATGGTTCGAATATCATTAGAACGACGATTAAAGGCCTACTTGGGATTGCATGGGGAAGTTGAATTGCATGATTATGTGCTACGTGTTTAAGTGTTTAAATGTTTGAGAAGCATGCCTACTTGTTTACTTGCTTACCTGTTTATTTGCTTACGTGATCACATGCTTATATGTTTACAGTTTTGAGGGCATGCCTAATTGCTAAATGCTTACGTGTTTAAATGCTAAAATTTGTGTTACATGGCCATGTACGAGGAATAATTAGACGATTTAACCATGTAAATGAAATGTAAAAGAAAAGGAAAGCATGTTAATCATTTATGAGGAGTATGGTGACGAGAAGTGGTAGGCACAGTGTGTGCAGTTCTAATTTAAATACTAATGTGATAAGTAATGATGTGTTTCGCGTAGTATTGTGGATTTCATTCATTTTGTATACAAGTGTATCTCTATCCTTATGT